TTAATGTGTTTTTAAATTTTAGATTTGTTGGATACTCTTTTTGCATTTTATCATTATTTTATTATCTTATCTATGAATTTCATAAAAGTATAATTTTTTTGTAAGTGTCAATATGTACTTATTTATAAGATATACAAGAAATTTACCTAAATTCGCTTAGATCTCGCCTAACCGCCTAAGCGCTAAGCGCCAGAACACCGCTCAACTAACGCCTAGCGTTTTTTAGAACCTTACGTTTAACAAAGGAAATGGTTGAATGAGCAAGTTTTGAATTCAACGTTTTCGACTAATTCTAAAGTCAAATCTCATAAAATTGAAATTGATCCATAAAAATAAAAAAGAGAAATGCATGCACCATGGTCCATGAAGGGTATGTGTGTACAACAAAGGGACGGGTTTGATGAAGTCATAAGTGGAGCCATATCTTGATGTGGAACAACTCAAAGCAAATATTCCCCAAAACACAGAAGCGTTGGTAGTCGTAGTACCACCAGCTGGATTATTCTTCTTCCTACCTCCGTTCAACATCAAACTACTACAAATTATTATTATCATGATTATTATTATTATTTTGTGGTGCTCTCTCTTCGTTTTCTCATTCAATACTTATGAGAATATTTAATCACTCTCAAGAGTGATGATGATGCTCAGCATCTTATTTATTGTAGGTGAGTTTAATTTTTAAGATCTGTGTAATGAATAAATATAAATCTCAAACTTTAAACTCATCCGATGATACTAAATATGGTGGTGATCATTACTATCACTTGAGGGTAGTGAGCATTACTGCCACGTTAGGATAGTGAATAAAAATACACCCAATATTTATTCACCAATTATCCCGTTCACTTTGGCTTGTTTTATAATAATTGAAAGTGCTTTTAGAAAAAATGTGTTCGGGTTCCAAAATCATTTAAAGTGTTTTCTACAATAAGCACTAGTTATGGGCTTCTTGCATGAAACAATAAAGTGTTTTACAAAATTCATTTATTATTTTACTAAGGATTGATTTTAAAACCATTTCCACAAAAAATATTTTCAATCATTTTAAAAACACTTTCGAATCAACCTTTATTAATTCTATATAGAACCCCCAACCCTACACTTTACACGATTCTTCATCATCATTAAATCAACGCACACGGACCACATTCAGTCATAGTAATCAAGTACCCCAACAAAATTTCAACAAAGTACTTAAGTATTAATCAAATGCCTTTTGTCTTTGATTGGAGCATAATATTGATTAATTTCATTAATCATTTCAAACACACAAGGAAATCTGCAGTAGGTGGCACTAATTGCCAAGAATGATTGAAAGTGGATTTTGACAGTCAAATGTTTTTAATTACATCTATTAGGTAAAGTTAAAAGTGTTTAGGATATGTTTAGTATTCAACTTGAATTTAATTTTTTAACTTAAAAACAATTTTTAAATCTCAACTTGGTAATTCTTGTTTAGTAAGACTATTTTTAAAAAGTAAACTCAAACAAACTTGGAAAATTAGCTTATTCATAAAAAACCAAAAAAGCAGTTTTTGATGTCTTTAAAACTCATCTCTCTCTATTTGATATATTCTTTTTTTTTTTTTCTCTCTCCTCCCAGTCTCTCGTCTCTCTTCCTATATTGCTCTGATTTTTCTCTCCTCTCTCCCAAGGAGGTGGATTGTCTACCCTTCCATTTTCATAGTCTCCTCATGCCCTTTTATTTGTATGGTCACGGTTAAGTCACGTCAATATTTTATATTCCTATTACTTTTTTGTTTTATTATTTCTATAAAAAATTAATATAAAATGTTGACGTGGTTTAACCGTGACCACATATCACAGGAGGGCATGGGAAGAGTATGAAAATGGGAGGGCAAACAATCCACCTCCCTCTCACAATCCTTTCCCTTAGACCTCAACTTTCTCTGTCTCTGTCGTCTATCTCACTCCGGATTCTCTCTCTTCGTTCTCTCTTTGTTCTTTTGATCCTCTCTCTTCTCTCTCCCTTTCTTTGAATACAATTTTGAATTTATACCAAACAAGTTTTTTGGTCTTATGAAGTCTTAAGAAAAAAAAAATTTGGAAATAATAAATTTTTATTTTGGATAGAATACTAAATAGGCCCTTAATTACTTCAAACACATGACAAGTGCTTCTTCTTGCAATGCCTAAACTTTTGCTAATGGTTTGTGTGTGTGAATACTCATGGAAGAGTTAAAAGTGTTTTATGACAATGAACGATACTTTTGACTTTTGAGCGTGTTTGGCAGAAAAAAGTTTAAAATTACTTTTGAAATAAGGAAACAAGAATTTCTAAAAAAAACGCTTTTGAGTAGAGTAGAGGTGATTTCTAAATGGAACTCTCAAATGCTTTTACGTGGTAGTATCGAATGGCTCCAGAGCCGTCGAATTCTGAATTCTCAACAAGGCGTCCACTCGAGTCTTCAGGATACAAGCTGTACCAACATTTTGTACAAGTACCAACTTGTTTAAACGGAAAATGCATACTTTCTTTGGTCACACGGGCTTCTATTTTTCTTGGTCGTTTCCTGCTTGATTTGATCCCCTTTCCGTTTGATAGTCTGATTATTTTATTTGTGAATTCAATTAATCTGAAACGAAGACTTATAATGTTCAGGTTAGAGAATGCATTGTGAGACGGAAGCTCTGAGTAAAATAAGTAGAAAAAGATCTAGGAAATTTGAAAAGACTTTTAGAAAAGACATAAAGTACCTGGAACTAACAAAAGACTTGACATAAAAATGAGCGACACTGAATTCATACAACCGATCTACTTAATGGATAAAACTTTTGTTATTGTTGATGTTGAGTTGTGTGGCTCATGAGTCATAAGTGCTTCTGCTTTTTCTCATCGATGACTCTTTGCAGTGTCGTGCCCGAAGGCCCCTTTCATCATGACATGGACATTGAGAGCAACCCGTGTGTGCTGATTGAATGGCTATGAGTGCACATTTGGTGCTATTCGTCTTATCAATTGTTTTGGTCAAATTTCAACCCAATGTTTTAATTACTTTATAATTGTTTTGATTTAAAGCAATCGATTAAGTTCGTACACAACCACCAATGTTAAAAATGTTTCGTTAACAAGTGCCAGATTAGGTCGTCTACACGTGTAAACGAATCTGAAAATGAGTGGACATTGAGTGCTTTTGGTCTTACTCTTTATCACATGTTTTGGTCAAATTGCATTCTAAGTTTTAATTTTTCATTGTTTTGGATTTGAAGCAATCATATTAAGATCATACACAAGTAAATTAGTAATGCGACGACTAATGTTACAAATGTTTCCACTATGAGTGTCATGATAAGTCGATTATATGTTCAGGTGGATCGCGTGCTCAGTAAATAAGAACTACTAAAATCAGCATTGTCGATGTTTTTATTTATAAGGTACGAATGACAATTTAGTCAATTAATAATATCACAAATGATTCCAAAACAAGTGCTATGGTCAATTGAGTACATATGCAGGCGAATCGTATATCTATAAAATAGGAACAGCCAGAATCAGTATGATATTGGATTTCAATATAATCAATCATCAATGTCACATATGTTTCATAACGACTATTATGATCATTTGACTACATGTGCAAGCGGATCATTGACCCACAAAATAGAAACGACCAAAACCAGCGTTGCCAATGTTTTAACTGACAATATACGAATTCCAATGTAATCAATCATCAATGTCACACATGTTTGCATAACGACTGTTAGGATCAATTGACTATACGTGCGAACGGATTATGACCATTCATGCTTTCTCAAAATAGTAACTACTAGTGCCACGCCCTGATCTCATGACATGACTAAAAACAAACCATTAGTACTACATTGTAGTACCTTTTCATTTTATTTTATGGTTGTACCTAACCTTAAGATTAGACTATCTACGGACTTGATGAAGGGATAAAGCCAGTTGTAGTTCACCATTTTGTTAAACTAAAAAACATAAAGTTCCATAACCACTCAATGGAACTCAACAAGTATGAATCATTACATTCAAGACTACTCAATGGAACCATCCAACCACTAGGATTCCAGACAACTTCATGAAATCCCAAGAATATAGTGCTTCGGACCAACTAAAAAAAATCATGCACGAAGTAGGATTCCAAGCCGACATTGCCATGTTTATGTTGACAAGACAAATTCCCATCGATTAGAATTAGTCTAAACTGTAAAAGATGAATGATATAGTTCAAATAATTGGCCCCTTCAAACGTAATCGATATAGAGAATTCAACCTCGAACACAATGATACATTCTCTTAAACTGATGTAGGCCATGGACCCACGTCATTATTATATTAAACAAGTGGCAGCTGGAATTTAAGTATTATAATTAATACGTGCATTTTTGGAGCTACGATGCATGTGTGGTGCTTTAAATCTATGGCTTATGATTATCTGAAATCTTTTAGTTTTCTAGGAGTTATATTGTATGTCTTTATTTCATTTGTCTTCTTATAGTTCTCACTATAAGTTGCAAGTTTATAAATACTTGTAGTTGTACGGTATAAAAAGAGAGGAAGTTTTTGAAATTATCATATTGATATTTGAGTTGTAAACTCGTTTTTAAGTGTCTTTCTATTGTGAGATTGTTCATTTTTGTTCTTTTAGTTGTTTACGTCGTAGGTTAGTACTAAAAACGAAGTTTTTAAGATTTTTAGATCTCTTCTCGCACTAAAAGATGATAGACCATACGTACCTATTCTTTTACCTATCATTTCATTTTTATTTGACCACCACGTTGCATCCTTTGCATCATAAACTAAAAGGTTACCATCATATACTAGCATCTAAAATAAAATCAAAGGGAGTCAAATTTAAAAAGGCAAGCATGATGAAAAACATGGGAAAAAAAGGAATCAATGGATCATCAATGATAATATCCCGCAATTAAAGAAGATCCCCAGGGGTACTTTCGGCATAAAGGCATCGTTTTTCTTGCCTATTTAATCGTTGCATCAGGCATCTCTCTCAGGTTCTCAGTTCTCAATCCAACCGCATCTGAAAAAACATAAAAACATCTTCAAAATCTCTTCCCCTTTTATTTCTCTGCTGACACATCTTCAAATCTCCCTTTGACCGCCGTGAACTGTCTCTCTCCCCCTCTCTCTCTCCTCTGCAAAATAAATATATAAATACAAATAAATATATATAATTTGGTTTTCCAGTTTTTTTTTTTTGGGTTTTCTCCCATCATCATCCTTGGCCTTTTCGCCGTTCTTGCAGAGAAAGGCTCTACCCGTGTTGTGAGATAAAGAAGAGAGAGAGAGAGAGAGAGAGAGAGAGAGAGAGTGATCCCTTTCTTATTTCACTTTTGGTTCTCTCTGGCACTGCAAAAGCTTCACACATCGTGGATTGGATTGATTAAATACATATCTTTTTCTGTTTAAGTGCATCGCTTATCTCCCTCTTCATAATTTAACTCCCTCTCTCTCCCTATCTGCGCACGCCCTATCCGTCTGTTCGAAGTTCCAAAAAGCTCTGATCCGACGGCCACGATCTTCTCGTCCTTCACTCGTACTACCACTTCCTCTTTATTTCTCTACGTAAGTATTTCTCCCTCTTCAAATACATAGCCTTATTGACCAACCTTTCTCTCTCTTCACTCTTTCTACGCTGATATATGTACATGGGTATTTTTATATCACTATATATACACGCTTTCTGTGTTCTTCTCATTTGTTTAATGTTGTATCTTCATAAATCTTATGTTTTTGTTTCTTCTGTTTCATTCGAAATTATTAATTTTCATTTCGTGAAAAAAACCCATGTCTTGTTTTTAAAATCTGACACTTAATCTTTGATTAGTTCCAACATGCAGTGATTTAACTTTGGATTATATGACTTGTTAACTGATATGGGGATTCTGGATTTTAGCTACTGATATCTGATTTACTTTTTCTGTTGAAATCTGCTCAGGGGGTATTTGAGTTTCTGCATTTCGTTTGCTGAGTGTGTTTACTGCTTGTTAAGTACATGATCAAAGCAGTGTTTGATAGCTTTTAAAGCCGTAAATTTCGAAAATTGCTTGATGAGTATTTTTTGCTAGTGTTGTCTGCAGCTAAATTTGATCTTGTATATATGCGTGTGCTGGTACACCTTATAAGAGTTTGTTAGATTTCGGTGGTACGGTTTTGGTGAACTATTAAGCTTAGTTCGTGTTGTTGAATGTAATCTAGTGATCCTTGCACAGTGTGTATAATTGTTAATTCGTTTCAATTCAATGATGTGTAGAACTTCTTTTGCTTTCTGGGTTTGCAAAACTAGGTTAAGAATTTTGAGCATAGATAAAAACTATAGGGATTAGGTTTGAGAGTCTTGGACCTTAAGCACACATGGGTTAAGTGTGGGGAAGAATTGTTGATGAGCTTGCTTTAGTTTGAAATATTAGATATAAACAGGTATGCGCTTTGCCAAATCAAATACCCTCGAAAAGACATTGGGCAAATCAGTCTATAGATGCCTACTCAATTATGTCCAAAACACACCCCTAAAAGTTTGAACTTTATATGGTTTTGTAGGTGGAAGTGGTCTATATACTTGATTAATTGAAGGATTGTTGTATATTTCCGCTGTCTTTGTAAATTTCTATAAAGGAGAGGTAGAATTTTATGTGGGAAATTTTGTATGGAAGGGGATAGTTACTTTATAGAGGATGATGCTGGATGTTTATAGCCTGTAGGACAACCTGCAGGGACTGTACCTTTATGTAGGGCAAGATGCATCACATTGTGTGTGACTAGATTTTCCATTTCTTCGTCAAATTTATGTCCCAAACATGTAGGACTCAATGGTTTTGTGGGAATCGAATATCTGCTTTGTAACATTCATAACACTACAAGGAATGGGACCTTTACGGAACGGGACACTATACCTTTCTCTATTGGTCTTTGCTTTAGATTTTATGTTACATCAATGACAGTCATCTTGTATTAGGAGTTAGGACCCAATTTGGGAGGTTGTGGATTCTATATGATATGATCTTTTCAAAGCTGAATTCTTTTCAAGAAAAAAAAAAAAGAAAACTTAGGGCTTGTATGGGAAGTGCTTTTAATTCACTCAAAGCATTTTTTGAGAAAATGCTTTTGGGTTCCAAAAGCACTTCCTAGGGTTAACTTGCTTTTGTACTAAGTATTGGTTTCAAAAACATTTTCTCTAAAAATGCCTTCAGTCATTTAAAGGCCCTTCCCAAATGAGCCCTTAATCTTTATAAAGCTGAGGTATTGTGGTGATACTGTGATAGCATATGTGTCTAAAACTACCACTTGCATATCTGTTATAAGTGGGTCATGAATAATTTACTTTTCATAGCATTTTGAAAAGCTTGTGTTTATTTATACTTATCATGCAAAAATAATAACCTTAACATTGTTATATATTATTTGTAGTGAACAAGTAGGCATCCTTGTACTCAAGGCTGATGGAGCCTAATGGTCATAGGAGAGTAAGGAGAAAGGATGTCCTAGAAAATGGTGACATGAGTCAGTCAAATTCAGGTGATGAGCTGGATCCATGGACTGCGTGGGCTTACAAACCTCGGACCATTTCAATGTTGCTTATTGGCGCATGCTTCCTTATGTGAGTGCTCTTTCCACTAAGTAGATTTTCTAAAAATAGTAGGTATACAGGTTATTTTATGGATCACAAACTAAATACTTCTGGTCTTCTGCACCATTTAATACAATCCCTGCCAAAGCTATTGGGGCATCTGATGGTTTTGGCCGAGTAATATTCTCATGGATTTTATTTTCTTCTTCTTACAGTTGTCATATAGAAGTAGTTGAGTTGTTAGATTTCAAGCTTATGTGATTGCATTAGCACGTCAAATTGTCTACCACCGACATAGGTGATGCAATGGTGCTTTTAGGTCCCTCTATTAGGCTTACAGAATTTATTTTCCAATTGTAAATGGCGTTATTAGGTTTTTGTAGTCTCTTTTTAAGGTTTAACAGTGTATCTCTCTAATCATTTGATGAATTTTCGTTCATGCAATGATAGTGACTGTTACAAATTAGCATGCCTTACCCACCACATCCCAGGCCTTAGGTCTCCTTTTATACTCGGCTGGTCATTGTTGAAGAAATTGTGAGCTGTGTTTGTATTAAACAATTGGTTAATACATTTTCTTAGCTTGTTGTCTGTTTAAATGTACCAGTTGGGTAAGTGGATCCCTAGACCCAGAAAGCAGTGCATCTGGAGATGTTGTTACATCTGTAAAAAGGTTAGTTCTTATTTGTTAAATTTGGTGATTAGTTTGACAGTAATACTCTTATTTGCCCCTTACAAATACAATGCTGACTCTTTTCCTGCAGGGGTGTATGGGCGATGATTGCAGTTTTTCTTGCTTATTGCTTGCTGCAAGCCCCATCTACGTAAGTTCTTGGATTGAGCTAGTTGTATATTTTTTATCGTAGAAAAATGTTTCTGCTAACATTTTACTGGATGGTTGTTTCGGTAACGAATGGGATTAAAAAATTTTGATTGGTTTTACTTTTCCTTGTTCGTTTTTCCTATATGAAAGTACTTCTTTTGCTGCTAGTAGTCACAGTAGTAATTGGGTGAGAAATTGTTAGCTTTATGTTCTACTGTGTTTCATACAGAGTGCTTATCAGACCACATCCAGCAATTTGGCGCTTGGTTCATGGAATGGCTGTTGTTTACCTAGTTTCTCTCACATTTTTGCTTTTCCAGGTCAGTTTTTGGCTTTATTATTATCATTGTTTTTATTTTTATAGTATTATAATGAGATTTTTCTTTGTCGGTTCGGTGTATACATGTATGTATGTTGGTATATGCGAGTATAAAACCTGAAAGTCTGTTTGTTGGAAGTTCTAATGTCTTCAGTATTGTGATAGTTAATTTTGGTTTCTCACTTTACAGAAGCGTGATGATGCTCGGCAGTTTATGAAGTTTCTCCATCCAGATCTTGGTGTTGGTAATGCAATTATTATTTTTTCTTTCAAACCTATTTAAGTGGAACTTTAGCTGATAAGTTTCTAACCTAACCTTTCTTATCTTACTATGGGTCACAAGATTCCTTGTTATAAATTTTTAATATGGCGTTTTAACTGATAAGGGATGATTTATCATTCAATTTGTTATGCGTATGAGATTTGTAAAGCATTTTATACTCAAATTATTTGGGATGCTTTAGGTAGGCTGCATAATCAAGGTATTCATCCGTTGTTTGTATTTCTTGATTTCATACAGAACTTCCAGAAAAATCTTATGGTGCTGATTGTCGCATATATTTGCCTGAAAATCCTACTAGCAGGTTTAAGAATGTTTATGTATGATTTCTTCTTTCACGCCATGAATTTTAATTGTTTCTCATGTATCGTTATGTTCTCAATCTACATTAATACAGTATCAGGGTCTGAATCTTATAATATCTCTTTCTCCTTTCTCCCCAGGAAACTCTTTTTGATGAATTTGTTGTGGCTCATATAGTTGGATGGTGGGGAAAGGCTATACTGATCCGTAATCAACCCCTTCTGTGGGTGCTTTCGATCGGATTTGAGTTGATGGAGGTTAGATTCTCGACCCTATACCTAATTCTATGTACGCTCAAGTGGTTGACTTGATATTAATTGAAAGCTTATTTGGCACGTTCAGTTTACCTTCCGCCATATGTTACCAAACTTCAATGAATGCTGGTGGGATAGTATCATTCTTGACATTTTGATCTGCAACTGGTTTGGTGAGAATTCTCTTACATTATTTTGAGCTTCTCTTAGCATAACATCTTGCATATCTTAGCAAAGGAGTTCTGTTATTTGTCCCATTTTCTGTCGTTTATTTAACTTTTTGGTATATTAGCAATTAAAAGTTTAGTTTTTATTTTTAGTAAAAACATTGGGGCTACGGCTGTGGTGCATGGGATGTATCTTGGTCAGTTCCTTTGTAGTATACTGAAACTTTAGCTTACACTTGAGACTGTTCTTCGGATTCAAATAGATTGACTCACTTGACTAAAATCTTTTTGATTTTCCATTTGTCAGTTGATCATAATCTCTGTTTATTATTCGATTTGCTAAGAACTTTAAGACCACCAGTTGCTTATTATGCAAAAACTGGCACGATGAGATCTTGTATTTGCAGTAATCATTTGCCAAATCTACCATTGTTTTTTCAATAAAGTTTATAGTCAAAAGTCAATATCTAGAGATTATTGTTGTGGCCTCCTGAGTTTTCTGTTTGGGTACTTTGCAGGTATCTGGGCAGGAATGCATACGGTCAGGTACTTTGATGGAAAAACATACAAGTGGGTTGGTCTGAGCCGTCAGCCGAATATTATTGGAAAAGTATGTTTTGGGTTTCAGTTACACATTTTGGTTGACCATGATTGCATTATTTTTGCTAATTGGCTTGTAGAATTTTTTAACTGAAACAGTTGTAATAAATTGGAAGTAATCATATAACGTGGGCAAATTTCTTTAGCTACTGCAATTATAATAAATAGTTAGCGTGGTTTCGACATTGTTATTTGCAATTGGTTTTCTGTACGTAGTTACTCGCAATATGTGATTTTGGGAGATGCAATCTGTATGGTTTCAGGTCAAACGAACACTGGGGCAGTTTACACCGGCTCAGTGGGACAAGGACGAGTGGCATCCCTTGCTTGATCCATGGCGTTTCATTCAAGTCCTCACTCTTTGCATTATATTCATGACTGTAGAGCTTAATACATTCTTTCTTAAGTTCTGTCTATGGGTTCCTCCCCGGAACCCCTTGATCGTTTATAGGTTAATCCTGTGGTGGCTAATTGCAATTCCGACAATTCGCGAGTACAATTCATACCTTCAAGATCGGTACTCTCTCTCTCTCTCTCTCTCTCTCTCTTTTCTCTCTTTCACACACACACACACACACCACATTTCATCAGAAACTATTTGCAGTGATGTAGTTTACGGCTTACTCTTTTTGCTCAACTACCGTATTTGCAGTAAACCAGTGAAGAAAGTAGGGGCATTTTGTTGGCTTTCTGTAGCTATTTGCATTATTGAACTTCTCATTTGCATCAAGTTTGGACACGGTATGGCCTTCTTTTCTTCGGGTTCCTTGGTTTTGTGAAATTTCTCCATCCATTGATTGACAGATGCTAATTTACGTGATCAGGATTATATCCTAAACCAATGCCATTGTGGCTGGTAACGTTTTGGGCATCCGCCGGAGCGGCCCTCGTAATATTTTTGATAATCTGGTCATGGCAACTGCATCAAAGTATACGGCGAAAGAGGCAATGAATTTACAATTGTGTACATCATTCTTTGATTTGCTGCGTCGTCTCAAAGGGTTTCGATATCGATGCGTGTTGTAAATATTTATCAGCTTTTTATTAAATTTGTACATCCATCCTGATTTTCTTATAGATTAGCGGATCACAGTTCCTTGAGTAGAGAATATTCATTCTTTTCTTGCTAGGCAGCTCGGGAAATTACTGGTTTGCCCCCATTACTGGCAGATTTTTTAGAGGATGAGCCTTGCTCAATTACCGATTTCTTCATGCTAATGTTTAGTTTTTTATTTTTTATTTTTATGAGTTAAATTTTTGTTTTTTTTGACAAAAGGTTAAATGTCAGGGGAAGGGGAATCGGTGGTGATCGAATTTGTACAAGTGTGCATAAGTATTATTACCTTCTGTCATTGTGATAAAGCGTCATCTGCAGGTTAAAAAATTGTTAGTTGCATGAATATTTCATCTATGTAATAATGTACCAAATGAGTCATGGCAAACAGCTGAGTCAAATTTCCTTGAGAGTATAGAATTTGTCAATCCGCTTCACTCGTTCGATATGAGGAAATGTTCAAGGTATACCGATTGTATGGCACGTCTCGCAAAATGTGATATTTATATTTTGTACCACCCGACTTTATATTGGTTATATCTGACTTGAGAGTTGTCTTAATTAGTCCATTCCATTGTAGTTTCTCTCTAGAGTGGAAGTCGAAACGAGTAAAAGTATGTTCTGTAAACAATTTTAGTGATGAATTTACTATTATTCTTTACAAATAGTATTACGACAATGGCTGTACAAATTACAGACCCAAATGAAATGACTCTTTTTAATCAAAATCCCTGTACCCTTTACCATGAGGCTTAAAGTTCACTTTCTTACTTTCATGACCACACATTAGACTTATTTTCACATTATAGAATCCATAATGTTTCTTGTTTTTTGTTACCCTATTTTCGAAGACTCGTCATTTACACGTCTGACTCATTTATTAGGATCTTCAGTCAGCTTCGACGAAGCTAGCAAGATCCGAAACAATGAAAGATCCCGGGGCTTAGACCTAATCCACAGCATGCTCTTTACTATTCAGGGCATCCCATTTCCTAGAGGACAAGCTTCTAAGCTCCTTTGTGATACAATTTTTCTACATAGATTTTGATGCAATTTTTCTACATAGAAGCAAATGGGGAGGGCTCTGGTTTTTTCTTCCAAACAGTCCGTCCCCGAACAATCTCTTCATCTTTATGGTTCCCAGTTGTTTGGAGGAGATGTGTATATCTGAATGGCTGCTTCTCAAGGGAGCCCAAAAACACGCTGTTCTCAAGAATCCCAGCTCCCAGAGAAAATCCATTCAGTAGACTTGTGTCATGATTCTCTTGTTTCAGTCCCTCTATCAACATTCCATCTTTGTCTGGATCGCAAAGCGATTGAACAATATCTGAACTCCCACACTCCTTTCTGTATTCTAGTGTGATTCCAGTCAGTTGGTGAGACTCCAAAATATTGTCAGGAATCGTCTGTCGAAAACATAGATTAAATTGGTCAATTAAGAGTTAATTATGGTAAAAAGAAACTTAAGTGACCGTTTAGAACTACTTCCGAGATTTTAACCCTTTCAGAAGCAGTGCCAAACATGCTTTTAACGAGGGGAGATAGATTTTATTTACCTCAAGCATCCATCGTACGTACTTGACATTGTTGACATGCTGGTTCATGTCCAAATCACTTCTCTTGGGCTACAAGTAATAAGAAAATTGCATATTCAGCATATGCTTAATTCTCGCAAGTCTCAACTGTATATATGGATGTAGCTCTGAAACGTGGGAATAATTTGGACACGAAATGTTACCTTCAAATCGTTATTGACATACTTAGCGTTGTTGTCCAACTTGACGATTTTATCAGGGACATCGTCTGGGATTGCCTGCTTCTGTATGAACCAAGGTGCAATCTCACCCCTCACTCCCTCTGGCATTTTCGAAAGGCGCCTAGTTTTCTGGTTCATCATCACCCAGGTGCTGTTCCATGTTTTATTACAACCATGGTTAATCAATGACAAGACTGAAATAAATCATTCATCAGGAGATCATGAAAGTGATTGGAAGTTTGAAGAAATTATACAGTACCTGGTCGCACGAGCGAAAATATGGCCCGTAGCTTGGCTTCGGATCAACCAGTCTCGCTTCATACCATTCTTCCCTGATGCTTGAACCCAAGTGTCGATTTCCAGTACCTCTCCCCTGCAGGATGTGATTGTCACATTTATTTTAACTTAAAAACTGTTCAATGCTACAAAGAGTCCTACTACCTAGCTTTAAAATTTATAGAAAAAAGAGAACAACTCCATGTTCGAGTCCCCTCTCTGAGGTTTAAATTAGATTAGAATATCGCTCGATCACAATGAAAACCGATGATTGGACTTACCAGATTGGATACTGGTCAACTTGAACTTGCATTCTTGAAACAACCCAAATAAGATCATTCTTCATCATTTCATGTGTTGCTCCAAATCCATCACTCAGGAGTCCAGACATCCAAACATGATTCAATGCCGTCTCCTGCATCATACCCAAAAAAATTCAGTATTTTTGAGTTCCGAACACTGTAACACAATCATCACATGTAAGAAAAACAGCTTTCTTAACTTCATCACCTGAAGCAGATTGAGGATGCTCTCAAGTGTGGCAGTTTTATCCGGGCCGACCTCATAGGACCTAATGACAACCCTCTGCCTGTACCCCACGCCGCCTTCGATGCTAAACGCTTGTCGGAAATGATCAACGGACTGCTTGGTTGTCGGAATGTTCTGTCTAGCCTGCTGCTCAGTCACGAAGTCATTTCTGGTTGCCACACCAGCTGCCATATCAACTTTGGTTGCGGTTTTCGTGGAAGTTCCATTGATCTTGATGCTGCTCAGCTTTTGCTTATTGGAGTCGTGGCTATCTCTGCTGGAAGAACACCTCACTGGGAAGTAGGTAAGATAAGAGATGGTGGTCATGGCATGAAACCTTTTTTCTGGGGGGTATTTTTATTTCTTTTTTTGTTTTGGTTAGAAGAAAGGTTGAAATTTGGAAATGGGGAAGGAGATGGTTAAATAGTTGTTTGTGGACGGAAAAAGTTAGGAAATTTGAGAGGACAAAAGAGGAAGGAGTTGTATATCTCAAAGAATTGCCTTGTGTGTGTTGAAGGTTAAGTTTTTGGTGCTCTAAATTTTTGAGTTGTGATAACATAGGTTTCATCGACTTCACAAAGCAGACAAAAGGGTTAGTGTTTCTGTTTTTGTCGCATATTTTTCTTTTGTTTTGTCATGTTTTGGAAGAGAGATGCAAATACAAAGTGAACATGACTGGTTGGTCTAGCCACGTTTGGGTTTTCACTTACTTGAAGGGGGTGTTTTGAGTTTAACTCACGCAAATGTGACGATGATATCATATGTTGAAAGATTGAAGGATTGCGCATGTGCTAAAAAAAAGTTAGATTACTTCTAGTACTGTTGATTAATTTTATGACGAAACTTCAACTTCTTTTCAATTTATGTATATAGTGAGTTTGTCTCCATTTGAGAGTGCTTCTGCAAGCACTAAAAGTGTTTTTTGACAACAAAAAAAAGCTTCATGAGGATGCCTTTTCATGATGCACTTCCAAATGCTTTTCTAGAAAGCACTTGCAATTTTTTTTTTACGCATTTGCAATAAAAACGCTTTTAGCTGAAAGGCACCCTTTTTTTAGAGAAGTTAAAGTTAGTCTTTTTGGTCATATACGTATAGTATCGTTCGTATTAACAAAAATGCAAAATACAAAGCGAGGCGGATGTGGCGGTTTTAAGGCATGACAGCAGCGTGAGGATCGTAGTTTTGTACGATTTGATGCTCGTAGTCTCCGATTAAGCACGGTTTGAATTTAATGCATGATTGGATTAATACAAACAAACAATTCATTCCAAACCATTCCGTGGTAAAAGGACATTTGGGGGAACCAATTGCCTGTTGGATATAGAAAACCCAAACTCTTCCTTCTCTCCAAGACTTGCCTACCTTGATTTGATTTTGGTTCTTGCTTTTGAAGGTTACCTTTGTTTTGGAGATGATTCTTTCCTCTCTTTTTTCCCTTTGTTTTTTGTACATTTCTAGGTAGAAAGTAAAATTGATGTTATGGGATGTTTCACAGTTAAAAGTTATCGCAAAGTGATCTCCGCAAATCTTTTTTTTTCCATCTCAGCCTAGTAAGACATTGTTTGCTTTGATCATGCTAGCAAAAAATTTGTATCTCAGCTATTAAGCTCAAAATGCGTCTTTACATGGAAATGTAACGCACCGGTTAATCTACAAGTGTCCTTTCACAAGCTCACACAACCCTTGTTATTACTTCACTTTTTGTGAAATAAAACAATTGCATATTGACCAAAAAATAAAAATAAAACAATTGCATATGTTTAGTACAAGCTATGCCTTGAGTTGTAGGAGGTGACTTATGGTGAATAAATTTACATTTACCATTCTAATGTTACATCCGATGTGAAAGAGAATAAAACCACAATCAAGCCTTATCTTACTAGGTGAGGTTGGTTGTATGAATCTTAGAATACCACTGCATTAAGTTTTGCGCCAAGTTTTCCGTTAGCTCCAAATACTTCATATCTTTTCTTATAATCTCTTTCAGAGTCTTTCAAGGTCTTCTGTTATCCAATGAAAAAGAAATCCACAATGCTGCTGTAATACAGAAAACTAACACAAGACTGGCAGTGCATAATTTTTCACTGCCTCACGAAGTTGATTCTTGGGGTCCACCGTACACGTATTCCTCAATGCCAAGTTACAGTGTGAACTCAAACTCTTATCAGTATTTTTCTGTGGAAAGGATCCTCTTCGGGTTCCTTTCCTTTTTCTGCATCTAAGTTCTGGAAAAATTGTAACACGTCGGTGTCATTCAACATCAGCAAAGTCGGGAAATTGCTCTGTTTCTTTACGCCCAAGCAAAGTTTGACCTGCAACAATGACGGTGTCGCCGTGAGTTAGTGAACAGGCAAGAGTTAGGGAGATGAGGTTGGGGATGCCTTCATACGAAGGGAACAAACAAGCAAAGCCAAAGGGAGAATTAAGGAATGTGTCCATCAAACATAATGAGACAAGCAGTAGACTCTTCTGTTTGAACAATTAGTAAAACTAAGCACGACCGATGGCTACCATGTCGATTATGCAATTGTTTTCCCTTGGTCTGATTATGCTAAGCATCAGGTTGAACGAATGTTTGGACTTTTAGACATGTTGCTCTTCGAGATTAAGTGCGTAATTAATTACTAATTATCATATAAACAACATTCTGTCCCACATTGCTAACAGGTGGGTTCATCAGAAAGAACAAAAGAGGCGATTATAAATTAGAAGTGAATGTGTGCAAGTGAGACTCTTTGGCCCCCTTGACCAACATCTACAGATAAATTTTCTTTCAGTCACCTCACACGCACCTCATGCAGCAACCGAGGAGATGCAGACCAACAAGAATCCTGTGTTCATTTCTGCCCGGAAGGGTAACGAATGTAGCGGCCGTTATGTTTCAAGTTGAAGTTCTACTTGCCACATTTTACGCCTCTGGAAATAATTGAAGAGACAGGCAAACGTGAACAAAACTGAAACATGCATGTCCTCTGAAAAGAGTCTTTCTGTACTGTTAAAGTTCTTGAATCACAGGAACCTACATTTCATGGTTACAGGAAGGCTGTCCAAGATAACGCTACAGCAACATTAACGATATTTCAAGCTGAATTGGATAAACTAGAAGATTTCACTATCTGCTCAGTACTAAATAAAACTCTGTTAAAAACAAAAAGTAATACATCAGATTTTAAACTGGACAAAAACCACATTCGTTACAACAATCCGGAACATGGCAGCACTTCCATCCTTCCTATTACCTCATGAAACAAAATAAGAAGGAAAAGAATGAACCAATAATCTTGTCAGATGTTTTATTTGGAACAATATGATACACTTGAGAGTTTTATCTGTACACTCTGATGTTGACTCTTCCGAAAAAATGGTTTCTGATAACTAATCAATAATCCAATTCAACAACTGCTTTTGAGTATATTCTTCTAAAGTTGGCAACAGCAAAAAAATCTGGTAAATATGGACTCAACCTTTCAAGTTACAGGTTTGCCAAACTCACCAATCAACATCAGCAACCCTATTTAGCAAATGACCTGTAAAACATCGAACCGGGAAAGCTGTCAAGCCAAGAAGAATATTAAAAGTTTGAGAATGTGCTATGTTGAAGCGAAAGTTGAAAGGAGATATCTTACTTGCAGTATAACTCAAGGGAATTTGGTGGTTAACACAACAGAGTTCTCTCGGAGTTGAGAAATCCCTCTTACTATCACATGCCTCTCTTTGAATAGTCAGCTGATAAACCTTGAACTCCACCAATAGCCTCATCAATATTTTAAACGAGCAGTTCCTTCACTAGCTTGAAATTAAATTCTCAAGGTACCGAACTGCATGCAACTGATAGTCTTTGTCTAGATGCTTAAAAAGTGCACTGTGTGTACAAGAATCAGGCTCGATCTCTCTGTCAAGCATCTGTTTATACAACCTCAAAGCCTCCTTCCAGTTGCCTATGTTGCAGTTCTCATTTATTAGAATAGTGTATGTATACTTATTTGGAACTATTCCTTTCTCCTCCATCTCAGCAAACGACTTGTAAGCCTGATCCATTCTCATCACTTTACAAAGGCCATTTATCAGCGCATTGTAGGTGACCACATTTGGCAAAACACGCTTCTCTTGCATCTCTGAGAAGTACATATATGCCAGTTCTAGTCTTCCCTTAGCTGCGTGTGCATGAATCAATACTGTGTAAGTTATCACCGAAGGAGACAAACCTTTGCTAAGCATCTCATAGAACACCTCTCTTGCCTTCATGAGTTGGCCACTCTCCAGGTGAGCGTGAATGATGCTAGTATAAGTTATATGGTCTGGAACGATACCATCACGTACAATTTTCTGCAACAAGGTATATGCTTCATCCAAATTGCCCAATTTACAAATCCCATTCACAAAAATATTGTATGTGAACAAATCAGGAGGGAAACCCCCTGCCAGTATTTCTTCTTGCATGCTAAATGCCTTGGAAGGGTCACCAAGCGTCAATTCACCCACTATTCGAGTATTGTACGCAAATCGGTCCGGCTTCACTCCTCTATGCAACATCTCATCAAATAACTCCTTGGCCATCGATAAGTTTCCCGCCTTGCAAGATCCATTTACCAAGATGGTATATGTAAAAACATCAGGGCAAGTTCCTTGATTGGTCATTTCTTTTTTAAGCTGTCGAGCAACAGCCAAGTCTCCGGATCTGCAAAGACCATCCATAAGTGTGTTATAGGTGACGACAGTAGGAGTGAAAGTCCTATGCCTCAACTCATCAAACAATCTGAAAGCATCCCCCAAGTTCCCTAATCTACAATACCCGTATATTAGAGTGTTGTATGACACTATATCCGGCCTTATATTTCTCTTTAACATATTGGAAAACTGTTCCCTGGCATCAATCACTCTTCCCCGCTTGCAGAGTCCATACATTAACGAATTATAAGTAGCCACGGTGGGATTCGCTCCTCTAATTACCATTTCTTTCTCAAGACATAACGCCTCTTCAAGCAGTCCTTTGTTGCAATACCCACAAATCAAAGGGTTATAAGTAAATGCTGTAATCCTCAATCCAGATTTCATCATTTCCTGGATCAGTCCCTTGGCCTGCTCCAGCTCCCCTTTCTTTGACAGCCCATTGATCAACACATTATACGTTACATCGTTCGGAAAACACTCTATCTTTTGCATCTCTGACAAAAGGTCAAGTGCTTGTTGCACTTCTCCTTCCTTGCAGAATGAATCCAACATGGTGTTATAGGTAACAATCGTCGGCTTAATCCCAGCCTCGCCCATCATTCTGTAAACGTCTTTAACTCTAGCCACAAGGTGTTTATTTCTAAGTATCCTAAGAACCCTATTGCAGTTCTTCACGTCTGGCAACAACCGGTTTCGAACCATCTTATCGAAAATCCAGAGACATTGCTCAAGCATCGATTTTTTTGTATAAACCCAGAACAAGAGATCGAGAAGCTTCAACGAGACCTTCGAAAACACATACTCATTAATCAAAACATCCACAATCCCATGCATATTTACACTAATCACCCTCTCCATAACCCAATGCGCCGGCCTCATCAAATTGTTGTGAGCCAGAATCTCAAGAATCACACAGAACGCAAACTCGGATCTTTTAAAACCCGGTTGGCCCTCGACCCATCGGAAAAACCTCAGAGCGATTCTGGGTCGGGTCCTAATCTCGACGAGGACTCGAACAAACAAGTCGGGGTCGACAATAACAGCTTGGAAACGATCGGAGACCCACTTGGAGTTGCAAAAAGCCCAGGGCTTTTCGTCAATGGTGTCGAAAATAAGGTCCCGGTAATGCGTTTGGGAGAAAGCTGTGGTGGGTAGAGAAGTAATTGAGGAGCAGTTGTGGGAAGACCCAGAGAGGGCGAAGAAATGGCGTACCTTGAGAGGACGGTGGTGTACGGCGGAGGCGGAGGAGGCAGTGGCGGCTAAAGCTTTTGAAGCTCTGGCGCAGAGGGTCATTGAGTGCAGAGGCGACTCATCCAGTGGCGGAGGATCGGCGAGAGAGAGGGGTTTTGGGTTTTGGGTTTCGAGTGAGTTCGACGGTTGATGGACGGCTCAGATCGAAATGAGCTTGGGTAAGTGTGTGGAAGCAGCCATGGTGATGGTGGCTATTGTATTGCGGACCCCAGCCCAAACCAAAACACTGGACTTCGTAATCCGAATTTCAAGTGTACTGTTAGGTTTTACTCTATGATCCACAACTGTTTATTTTTTTAATTCACACTTTAAAGATCAATTCGACCAAAAATCAACTAAATTCAAAATTATTTAGACGAATCATGTTATTCATTTTTTTTTAATGAAACATGTAATACTGTTGAAGCCTCAAATTTTGAAAGTGTTAATCAAATAGAAACACGAACTGTGCAACATTAAATGATGAGAAGGAGAGCTCAAAAATATAACAAGAATGTCTAACTGAAAAAATCAGCAGCATTTCCTAAATTATATTAGACTGTAGAGTATCTCCAATCACGCTCTCTTTGCAGTTAAAATTATCAAACATTATGTTAAGAGCTCTTTAAAAAAGTTGTACTCCATTCATACTCCCTACTTTAGCGCGTCATAATGACTGCATATTGCGCTTTACCGCAATGACAGAAAGCAATAATGCTTTTACATAAATAAATTATTTATATTGATACACAAGCAAGATCAAATGAAACAAATGCTAGAGATTACACCACGTCTTGTGATTATGATACACATGAAGCACATGAAGCAGCTCCCTTCAGCAACTCTACTTCTGACGATCCATTAATTGTTGAAGAATTGCCTGTCAACAACACAAACAACAACTCATGATACCCACGTGGTCTGGTACACGTTATTTTCGTCATTAAGATCGACGACGATGACATAAAACCTAACAAAAAGTTCTGATACATGTTAAAAACTTTTCCTACATTGTGATTAAATTCCTCGAAAGATCGGATTCAGTTGAGCTTTTGATGTATTTTATCCACTGCACAAGTTATTTTAAGTTGCAAGCACATGCAGAAAAAAAAAACACAAAGTTTTGTTGTCGTGACTTACAGGACAGGATCCGTATGATTTCATCCCCTGATGTAGTTCATGGGATGAAATTAAAAGTTTTACAGGACTGAATTCAATGGATTGATTCTGTCCTCTGTTGTCTGCAAACCCAATTAGTTCACGTTGTAGAAGGTGTTCGAATGCCTGCAGAAGCAAAAAATGAAAATGTTCTGCTAAAATGTAACACAACAATAAGATTTGTTATAACACAATTTTAGCAAGGAGCTAAGCGTACCCGCAAGCAAACATTTCTTGCAAAATAGTCAGCTGTCTTGACCGAATCGTGTATGCTTTTGTACTCTGCCAGACATACCAAACATGTAAGCGAAAACTTAATAATAGGACTTAGAATGACAAGAATCACATATTCACCTTTCATTACAGCGTTGAAATTGTATGAGTTCTGCTCTTTAACTTCCAACCTCTTCATGCATACCAGAATGTAAAGTTCCAATACAGAGCAATCTGCTTAAATCGTTGATTTTCATAAGAAAAAAAAAGGAGAAAAGGAGAAAAGAAGAAGACAGGAAACAATACATCATTGCTTTGCTTCGCTTCATAGTTATATACACAAGTCTTTGGCAGGCAGAAATGATGGATATGGGAGGAACAAAGAATGCAGATAATGAAGTCCAACAAAGAAAGATATAAATTCTCAGACCTTTTATGCATTCCAACTTTGGATGCCTTTGGATATTTGAAAGTGCGGTTTTGAAGTTTTCTAGTGACAGCATTCCAGATTCTAAATCCATATCAGAAACAGCGCGGAATCTAGTACCATGGTCCATGACGAGTAACTTTAGTATATGACGAATGATGAACACTAAAAGCAATACATTCATTCAATTCTCTCACTATCAAAAGAAAAACTTACAGATATCTTAACAAATGTTTGACGGTTGAATCAAGATTCAGATATGTATTAATGATCTCTTTGAATCTCTCATCAGCCAATATAGTCTGTAAAATGTCAAGGACTTTACAAGCTGAAGGATCTGATCTGCTAGAATACTATAGAATGAAAAATTGTTTTAGATGAATATTCTATGTTATCTCATTAAAAGACATAGTCAGGAAAGGATACTTGAAGTTTTGCATTGAATGCAATAGCATAGTCTGGTGGAAAGCTTGAGTCTGTTGGCAATAGTAAAATGTGCTCCAACAATCTGCCTCGTTTGGAAATTAAGCAAATCAGAAAAGCAACTACTACATTGGAAGTGTCAATATTTGGGAAGAAACAATAACAGCACCCAAGCCATAAGTTAATAACTTTACCGTTGTATGTCTTCATAAGCAGGAGGAAGAAACAAAAGCTTTCTATGTGAAAAACGAGATCTTACTCGTTTGTCCAAAAGCATATCAGCATCCTGCATGAAAATTTCTTCTCAACTTTGATGCAACTAATCCATATGCTAACATTAAAACCTAGGCATTCACAGTTATGGCAACAAAAGTTAACAAGGAAAAGATCACAGCAATTTTAAAGCAACATACCAGTCGCGAACTCACACCAATGACAACAGCTTGAGATGTAACTGACTGCATTGCATCAAGTAAACTATAAAGCAATCTCTGTTTTCCCTGTAAGGAACCATAAGTGAAAAAGAAATATTGAGTCAATGGTTGTTTATTTTTATTCTATAAAGACAGCATGAATTTAAGAACTCAAAAAGGCATTTGCATCGCATGAGTTGCACAACTTGCAGAGATGCGACATGGGTCAAAATTCATATCAGTCAAGACTCATAACATATTCCCGTGAGTAACCGACAAGAAACTCTTTAAGGTATGCGTAGGTTTAGCTTGTAAGTCATACACTTCTTACACCTTATATGTTGCACAATATTCGTATACCAAATGGCGTCTTGTCTTAATATTTATGGTTGATACTTCAACCAAAAGCACCCAACCAGAGTCAATTTTGAGAAAACAAGTATGCTGATTTGAGCTCTGATCAAGCAAACCCCTTTCATGAAAGCTCCAGTAGAGAGAAAAAAGTACTATATTTTCTCTAGGTTATAATTACATTTTCATTGACATTCTTCCAACATTTAGTTTCAGTAGACCGAAGAGTGTGTGTGTTCTTTATGTTTCAGTCTGCACGTACTCTTCTTCAATAAAAGACTTAAATTACTCCTTACGAAAGGATAAACTTTCCTACGATTTCCAGTGTAACTTTGCAGCCCAAGATAAGATTCACAAGTTTTTACATGTTAACTAATTGCTTTTCACAAATCTTCACCAGTTTCAAAGAACGAAGAAGCCAAAGATAAATCATGAATGTCAAAGAGCAAGGCTGCAGAATTGAAAAACAAACGGGCAAAGGAAGATGAGGTCTTACCAGAGCAAACAAGTCAAACTCATCCAACACAAAAATAATTGTTTTATGCGCTAATCCACACTCCCTAATTAGCAGAGAAACAGATCTGTCAGAACCTCTAATCCATTTGACAAGAATCGCACCACGGAAACTTTATACGCACCTTAACATGGCTATCATAAACTGAGAGTTATCATCAAACGATGCCTACAAAATGATCACAACATCAAGAAACCAGAAGTTTTCGGAAGTACAATGCTTCAAAAGTGGTTTCAGATAAAACTATGCACTTACCATTCTCGAGAACACCAACTGATGCTCCACGCATAGCTGCCTAGCGATTTCCTGAATGACCAACAACCATATTAAACAAAGAAAAACATAATGTTACTATCTAGGATTCCTGAATGAATCATCACAATTTCAACCCCAGACCTGAAAAAATAAAAAGAAAAGTAGACAGAATCATCAACCTTGAATGCGCAGTTGTCACTGCTATGTAAAAGGCCACTCAACCTAATCTGCAGCACAATTTCCACTCCAAATTAAATTGCAAATAAACATTAAAACGGGAACAAAAAAAAAAGCAGGAAAATGCAAGGAAATTATAGAGAATAAAAGTGAAAAATGCAAGCATACCACTGAAATCATATCAGGAAATTCTTGTAATAAATCGCTGAGCACAAGCTCCAATACCTAAAACACGAGTAGAATAATAAAATCAACTGTATATTTATATTACAATTATAAGAGGATTGAAGAGGAACTACAATGGAAAATTTGGGGGGCATACGGCAATTTTTCCGGAACCACGGGGACCCAGAAGCAAAATGGAGTTGTTGCAGGCCTCAGTGATCGAACTCGAAACTAAAAATTTCAACTTGCTGCAAAAAAAATAAAAAAAATAAGAAAATCAAAGCCAAAAAGCCCCCAATTTTTATTTTTAAAAATTGAAATTAGGGTCGAAGCGTGTGACTTGAAGGAAATTGGGGACCTGTAGTTTGAGTCGTCGGAGTGAGAGAGAGCTTTGAAGGCGAAATTTGGGTCGCAGAGCCGGCTCCGGAGCAGACATAGGGCTTTCTCCGCCTGATTTTCCCGCGCCATTTCGAGAAGCAAGCTCGGAGCGGGATGAAATGAGACGAGAAAGAAATGGCGGGAAGGAATGCGCAGTCGGTTTATACAGTACCAACATGTGCCCCACCTAAGACCGAAGGCCCAAGTTAACTATGGGCCGAACTGAACCTTTTCGGTGGGCCGAAATTGCAACCGGGAAAGTGCTTGTGAGGCCCATTCTACGCCATACATTACGTCATCGGCGCATAGTAGAAAACAAATAGAGAACCCGCTACGATGCGCCATTGGCCTTGGCTGCGATTCCAAAAATATCGTCCCGACGAGCTGAAGAAAGAAGCACCGACCGGTCATTCGCATTCAGACATCGTTCAGAAGAACCAGAGGAAGAAGAAGAAGCAGCGAACTTGCGGTTGGAAGCGTCGGAGGAGAGATGGGAAGCATCAGTTATGCTTCCATTTCCAACTTGAACTTCATCCGGAATCGCACCCACAATTGCTTCGACTTGCGGGGACCAATCAGAAATCAGCTGGGTTCCGTTCGAGTCCACCACTCGAGGAGGCCGAGACCGGAGCTCAGTGCTCTGCGGATCCGGAGGAGCCTCCGCGGTGACGTCGTTTGCTGCGCTGTTGATGATGATTTGAGAGAGAAGCAGCAGGAGTTTGGCGCTGGACCTGGGGTTGGGTCCGCCGTCAAGGAGAGGCCTTCTACTGGTAACACTTAACATCCACAATTTGTAAAAAAAAATTCACTGAATTTGTTATTAAGTTAATAAGAGCTAAACATGGATTTTCTTACAATTGTTAGTAATTCTAGTGCTTTTGATTCTTTGCTAATCTGAGTAATTTGAGTATGTTTAGAAGCAAAATATACCTTAAATCTGATCTGGGAGCTCTGTAATATCCGTTAAGTATAATAATTGTCTGGTACTGATTCAAGAAGTAATTTGTAATTAACCCTGGTAAGCATTTTGCTGGCAGGAAGCACTTTTGCTAGAAGTGCTTTTCTTAGAAACACATTGAACTTTTTACTAAAAATCCAGTGCTTCTTGGAAAAGCAATTGGAAGTACTTCTTGAGAAGCACCTCTAGAAAGCGCTTCACTTCTAAGTTTTTCTTCCAAATGTAATTAGAAGTGCGTTTGATTGAGTGGAAGAAAGTGCTTTTGCTACTACAGAAAAGAAACCGAGTTTCTTTAGCTCCTAGTGTAATTTGGACCTTTTTCGAAAACAATTCGTTTGTACAGGTTTTGCTTCTGTAAAAGCATATAAATTTACTCACTTATCACAATTTAGATCTTGCCTTGAGAAAGTACGCGTTAATGTCTTCAGTTACAAGTTTGACATGCCATTTTGATGTACAATATAGATTTGGTTGATGGAGTGAAAGAAGACAATGGAGGAAGTTCGATTTCCAATTTTCTGTATCCTAGTCAAGAGCTCCTCCCGGATGATAAAGAGATGACCATATTCGATCATCTGGAAGAGCTGCGTCAGAGACTTTTGATATCAGTTATAGCGGTTGGTGTTTCTATTGGGGGGTGCTTTGCATATTCTAAAGACCTTATAGTATTTCTTGAAGCTCCGGTTAAAGAACAAGGTGTAAAGTTCCTGCAGCTAGCTCCTGGCGAGTTTTTCTTTACTACTATAAAGGTTAGACTCAGTGAATATCTATCCGGTCCTTGAAATGATTGCTGCATTTAAGATTTTGTTTTCCGGAAGTGCAAATCAGTCTGGCTAGCTATTGCGGAAGTGTAATGAAGTGTTGTAGGGACTTTATGATTAGTATTTCGCATAAGAATCTCAGTCTTAAATGAGAATATTACCTCTTGCCCCTTTTTTTCGTGTTTTCATTTGGTTATTTCAGAAGTAAATCACTTTAACAAGAAAGTTCTTTTGATTGTTTACTGCAGGTATCAGGATATTGCGGCATTCTATTGGGGAGCCCCATCATTCTGTATGAGCTTATAGCCTTTGTTCTTCCAGGATTAACGAGAGACGAGAGAAAATTTCTGGGGCCAATTGTTTTAGGCTCATCGGTTCTTTTCTATGCTGGTATCACCTTCTCCTATATGGTGTTGACACCAGCAGCCTTGAACTTTTTTGTTACGTATGCAGAAGGTGTTGTGGAATCTTTATGGTCCATCGATCAATACTTTGAGTTCGTACTTGTTCTCATGTTCAGCACAGGCTTGTCTTTCCAGGTAACGACTCTCCTCTCAAGTATTCTTAACCGAAATTTACTGTTGGTTTGTGCCCCTAAAATGCATGCATTGAAGTGGATCTCTCAGTAGAAGCTCCGTTAACAAATTACCTTTCATCTTATTCTAGGTTCCGGTTATACAATTTCTCCTTGGACAAGTCGGTCTGGTATCAGGAGACCAAATGCTATCAATTTGGAGGTATGTTGTGGTTGGCGCTGTTGTGGCAGCTGCCGTGGTTACCCCGTCAACGGATCCACTCACTCAGCTTCTTCTGGCAGCACCCCTCCTCGGTCTTTACTTAGGGGGTGCCTGGGTGGTTAAGCTTACTGGCCGGTGAACCCTATTAAACGCATGAAATTTATTTGCAGTATCGCGCATTCAGTGTTTGTAAGGATCTTTACATTTGCAACATGTAACATAAATGCGATCTTATATAGAACAAGGGTGGATTCTAAACTCGAATTCAAATGTCGAAACAAGATATATTTTCTTCTCGAAAACAAGGACTTACAAAGCTCTGCAAAATCAATTTCATCTCTCTCTCTCTCTTTCTCTCTCGCCTAACTGTTCAAATCAATATTCTGCACACTGGTTTCTAAATCAACAGTATTAGGAGAGGCCACTTCAGATTCGAGCTGTCTCAATGAACTCTTCAAACAATTGCACGCCTGACTAAAAGCTTCCAGATTTCCGTTGAGATTCTGCAATTCGGATTGCATATCATCAACAAAACTGGAGATTTTCTCGGATGCTGCGTTGATAGCGGGAACCTCTTGTGGGGGGTATAAACAAGCTCCAAGCTCGTCTATTTGTATTCCGATTTCTTTACACATTATCAACAATTTCTCCAAGGAATCCACAAGATTACCGCTGCCATTTGGGTTTTCCAGTTTAAGCAAACCGCTGATGGTGCGAATTAGTTCCTTTATTACCACAAGAGCCTCTGACACAACGGCAATTGCCAATTGAGAAACTCTCATCTCTTCAGGTGACAAGTCATTGCCCAGATCACCATCACTTAAAATTTCATCATCATCGGGTTCAATCTCTGCTTCAGTAGAAGGCTCGATAGAGGATTCATCTGTCGGGTCAGAGGAAGCTGGCTTAAGCTCCTTCATCTCACGAAGAACATCCTTCACCGAAACTGCAACCTTTGTCATTGCTCGCCCAATTGCTGTAATATTTGTGGCAGGTGTCATTTTGAGAGCAGAACACGCTTCCCATACTGCACCGACCCACTGTGGAATTGAGAGTTTCCCATCTTTATTCCGTGCTCCTGCAAGTGTATGTTCCAAGTGAAGATAAGGTTCCTACTAGCTAAAGTAGTCGTCAAATCTTTAGCCAAGACAATTGCACTTCCAACTACCATAATATGCAATCAAATAGACTCTAATGGTTATTAATCAGCATTAGCCTCCAAAATTTGATGTCAATGATCTACACGAAAGCTAACTCTAGAAGCTGAAGTTCATGGTCACTTTGAAGTCATACACCTGAAGTTCATGGTCACTTTGAAGTCATACACCAATGACAGTGTGTATGTGATTTCAACAAAAATACAAAGCATGCAGTGATTTTTAAGAACAAGAAATGCTACAGAAACAATGTATGGTTTAGAGGGGGGAGAGAGAGAGATTACCATACAAAGAGATAGATTCCTTCCACAGCTTAAAACTGGTGTCAACAACTTGCTTTACAGACGTATGGACACAAGAAGCCAGCGTAGGCCCTGCACCCACTGTACTCCCATGTGAAAGCAGAAGAAAACCTTGCAGGGTATTGAAGTAGGAAACCATGTTTTCTTCAAGTGATCTAACTTGCGGTGTTTCTCCTCCGGTCCAAAGCATTCCAACTGCATTATCAAGTCACATTTAGTCACTTGAGCATCAGGCATTATGCAACAGAAGGGAGAAGAAGAAACTATACAGCCAGATCACGAATCGAAACATAGATAGACAAAAACCATATACGTCAGATCTCCATGGCGCCTTTTTTCAGAGTACATGATCACTCAAGGCACATTGAAGAATATGGAAAAGTTGTTGAGTTACGGAAGCATATTTGTAAGGGTAATAATGCTAGGGAGACTAAATTTGCAAACTAAATGATATGTCACCAATACGATTGAGCATGTTAATCAACGCTTAAGAATAAACCAATCATCAACTTCCATATCCTTTAGTTTCCAAAATTTAGTCTCCCTAGCATTACCCTATTTGTAAAGTCCAGAAAGGTGAAATCAGAATTCCTTCTATAAATTTTCCAGATTTTTCCATTCGAAAGGACACGTTTTCGAATTAACTATACCAAGATATTAGCAGTGGACACAGATGAAAAAAAAAATTAAAATAAAAGCAAGAAAAATAAAAATTGAAGATTGATAGGACTTACAAATGGTAGCTTGTTTGGAGACTTGATCGCCCATCTTTGTGACCTCCACCCAGCTCACCTTCTCAAGTGTTGAAGGTGCGGTTTGATCCAACACCTGATTTCATCCAATTCAACAAACAAAACCATAAAAAAATAAAAAATAAATAAAAAAGAAGGAAAGATTGAATTTCTAGAGACAGAGAGAGATTGAACCTGGAAGGTCTCGTGGACGGTGTTGAGGTGGTGATTGAGAGTTCGAGTCAGTTGGTCTCTCTCGGCTCGGCCCATCGCTCGGCGTTTGACGGAAGGAATTGCAGCTGCAGCAGCGGGTTCTCAAAATTCTCAGAGGTTTAGGGGTTTTGTGGAGGGGAAAATCTTCTGCCGCCAAGTGCCAATAGGGTAACGCGATTAACAGCCAGTTCCGTTAATCGACGACGTCTCGTCTTTTGTATTGGGCTAAATGACCTTCGGCCCGTTATGGCAATGAGCTTTATTTTTATTTATTTAATTTTGTAATAGCGTATGAATTTTTTTGCTAGACCAATCTTAATTAGATAAGTAAACTAAATCTAGGATAACAAGGAAACTTAGGGAAGAGAGAATAGTTGAAACTAGAGTGGCTAAAGTGGGGGAATATTGGGAATACCGATTTGTGTATGTGGAACGGTGTGCTTTCTCACAACTTAACCACGAAACCTATCCATCACTTTTTTAGGAAAAGTATGATATTCGTTGATGAGGTAAATGAATAAGTACAATTGTTTGGACCCAAATTTACATCATCGGCCTATGCAATCAAGGCCGTTGAGTGAGCATAGCTCCCAACCTTCGGATGGAAAAATAAAGATAATTATGTTATTGTTAAAGGATAATATGATGGTTTTTATCATAATAATTATCTTTTAATATGAATTATATTGGCATCTTCTTAAACCAGATAAATAGGATGCAAATTATATCCCAAAGCAGTACAGTTCGAGTTGATTTGGGATGTCTGATGGCACTTGGAAGCTAAAAATGAATTTAAAAGGTAATGAAATTATGATGATGTGATAAGCGTGGGATTTGATGGTCTTGGATAATGGTGATAAGAAACCTAGGTAGGCTAGGTTATTTGAGTAGTGATGGATGTTGTTAGATGAATTGATGATGGAATCACAATGCATGCCGTGTGAAAGACTACTTCCCATATAATTATGTACTGCGAATTTGGTGGTGATTATCTCCAATAAAAGGAACCAACCACACCAGTGCAGGTGGATTGGTGGTTGTTTAGATGAACATTATTTGTTCAAATCCAAGCATGCAGGCTATATTAGGATTCAATGTGACAAGACGAAACACAAGGATTGAATTTGGTTGCATTTTTGACTAAGTTCAGAGTCTGGGGAGTAGTAAGGTTTATCCGAGGCTTAAGTCAGTGGAAGAGTTCTAATAGCATGGCAGAGTCTTTATTAGCTCATCAACCAACACAGACTCATCCTTATAAATACAAGACACCGTGCAGCAAAAAAAGCCCTCTCCAATTCAACACACAAAACTGTCCTGCACAAACTCTCGCTTTATGCGAAATCTCTCAATAACCTTGAGATTTTTATTTTCTTTTTCCGCCAACACATTTTCAGTTTGGATAAATAACACTGTGAAGGTAACCGACGAACATCTTCAGTTTGGATAAACAACGTTGTTGTCGTAAAATCAACCGACCGAGGAGCACCTTCAGTTGGATAAATAGCACTGCGTCGAGGCCAACTGGTTATTTATCCAAGTCTCGGTCGAGAAGGATTTTCGAATCCTTATTGGCAGAGGTCATCTCATTAGCCTTCTTGGCGAAGTAAGGTGTTACAGGTTACTACATTCAGCACATTGAAAGCCGAATTTGATATTGAGCTTCCCAAGACTAGCAGCCTCTTCAGACTCTAGAACCCGAAGGCCGATACGTGTTCCTTTCTCAGCCACAGTCGCAAGATCAAGAAGTCAGTAGCGCGCTTAACGCAGCATCAGCACATTTTACTCATCGGCCGAGCTCGGTCTACGAGTTGGCACATCCTACACACAACCGAAGGATGTAGTTAGTTTACTAATTACTCGGCCTGCGCGCCACGTAGGCTTGGTAGTTTTTAGGGCCAACAACAATACAAGGATATGATGCCTTTATTTAGGCCTGGATAAAACATTGTCAGAGATTTTAACCTGATCGAAAAGAAAAAAGTATCACACACTAATTACAATTAAATTTTATCTTCGAATAACAAATCACCAATTATATCTAGAAGGTCCTTGAACTTGCTCCATTGAAAGGCCATACCTTTACCACTTACTTTAATCTAAATCTAGATATATCACTTCCTCTTAAAAGTAGGAAATATATTCATACCAATTTCATATACTTTCCTGCTTTTTAATTCTCCAACAATATGTTGTATACGCTTAAGAAATCACAAACAGGCTTGTGAATTTCGAGTTCAAATATTCGAAATCGATGCTGTCCTTTTTAAGATCACACAACTTCTTCCTTTCCCTTTTGAATTTACCTTTTTATTCCCAATGTTGCACAGCTTTGGATTAATGACAGAGTAAGGAGCTGCTTGCAGACTTGTATTCCAATAGAAAATATGGGAAAGTAAAATATACAGCCTCTATCTTCTTAAACCTGAAGGCGAAAATAAACTCATTCCTAATATAATAAGTGAACCCATCCGAAAGGGAAAGAGATTTTCCCTAATATCTTTGGACTTTTAATGTATGTATGTATATCTATATATATCACGTCACAAAAACCAAGCTTCCCTCATAATAATATTCAAAGAATCTGATAGCACCACCACCATTCTCTTGTAGCTCCTCCTTGGCCTCCCCCTCCACAGCACAGTAGTGCATTCAAGAGATGGAAGCGCAAAATTCCGAACGTGAGCGTATAATCGAAGTACGTGAAGATGTTCCCGCTATAGAAACCAGCTTGAGTAGGACAAAGATATGTCGGGATGGATCCTGCGGATTTTTAAATGATAAATCTAGTTCCAAAGATGCACAGGGACGTTTTGCACTTCGTTGCGTTTTAATGAGCGTGGAAGTTGTTGGCAAGGGCGGAGCCAAGTACAAGGCTCCTCTAGGCTATATCATAGGGAGAGTATGACTCTTCAAGCTTAAAAATATTAATTTTTAGATTAGTTTATGATTTTTAATTGTCATATTTCACATAAGAAATGAAATTTTTTATTAGTAAGCTTATTTTTAAGAATAATAAGAGCTAATAGATGTTAAATAAACTCATCACTTTAACCAATGGTTCCTTATTTTATTTACTTGAAAGCTTTGAAGACTAGAAACCTAGAAAACATAGTATAAAATTCTTGCTTTAAATTACTACATTCAAGTTTTTACTATTATATAACTTTATGTAGGTAACGTAGGATTAAAAACTTGATAATTTTAGCTTAGCCTACCCACTGAATAATTTATGGCTACGCCATGGGTTGTTGGAGGTATCAAAGCCAACAGTCTTGCAATTCTCACCGATGCATCTCATCTGTTGACGGATGTTTGCAGCATTTGCAATTTCTTTGTTCTCAGTTTGGGCATCGGGATGGGAGGCAACTCCTCGCCAATCGTACGGCTTCTACAGGATTGAAATACTAGGCGCTCTAGTTTCGGTCCAGCTGATTTGGGCGCTTTCTGGGATACAAAGAGAAGGGACTTACCACTTTTGAAAAAGAAAATACTAGAAAAAAGAAAGGGGGGACATAGACCATACCCCTTTTGAAAAAGAAAATAAAAGAAAAAAGATTGGGTGGACATATACCCAAACCCCTCTATAAACCTTAAAAGGTAAGAACCTGCAAGACAAGCTGCAAAACGAAAAAGGAAATCCAAAAAGATTAGGTAAAAAAAGGAAATCACACATCAAGAATGGGAGACAAACCTGTAGGCTGGCATGCCCAAGAAATTTGAGTGCAGAAGAGGAAGAATCTCTATAGGAGGAGCAGAATGCCAAACAAGTGAAGATAAGAGAAGCCCTAAATTGGCTAATTTGTCAGCAACATCATTCCCTTCTCGAAATGTATGAGAGCAACGGAAAACCATGTTTTGCAATCGGAGAATACAATTGTTCCAGCGTGTCTGGAGTGATCAAGGAGGAGAGAAGGATCCAGAAGCGAAACAGGATATCGCGTTAGAAGAATCACTTTCAAGCCATAGATTTTGCCCACCCCGCGCATGAGCCAATTCCACAGCAATGATGACAGCATGGAGCTCCGCATAGAAAGAAGTACGATACCCCAAGCTTAGGGAGAAACCACCAAGAAAATAGCCTGCAGAATCTCGGAAAACCCCGCCACAAGCCGCAGGACCCGGGTTACCTTTAGCAAGGCCATCAGTATTCACTTTGACCCAAGAAAAAGGAGGGGGATGCCAAAGAACAGGGACTATAAAAGGAGCTTTACAAGATTTAGCCAAGATTCCAAGAGAGACTAAAAGTTGCCTATCCAAAATGCCTCGTACATGACCAGGGGTGAGAACTCCAACCTGGCTAATCCAAGCCAAGGTGGAATGGCAAAGGCGTGAGAAGGAAGAGGGTTTACTTTCAAACTTCACTTTGTTACGCATCTTCCAAATAGCCATTAGCAAGAAAAACCTTGAAGCTAGCCATACATTGCGAAGTTGTGGAGAAAACCGTTTTGACACAAAAGTAAGCCAAAAGTCAAACTTCACTTTCTACGTTTGGTTTAGTGGTTAACATTAGCATGGCATTCTTATTTTGTCATGAGATCATGGATATGGACATGGACACGGACATGATAATCATCCTCATAGTCATGAGGATCCCGATGAGACTCATAACCATGGGATTACTGTGACGACACATCACTCTTACCATCATGAGGTGCACTGCAATCACGATGGCAAACACCGTCATATAGTTGAAACCGCGGAACCTCTACTCAAGCATAGCTGTGAAGGTGAATAGAAACCGAAGCAAAATGTGCAGGGGGCTTATCTTCTTGTACTTGGCGATTCCATTCAGAGTATCGGAGTGATGATTGGTGGAGCAATTATATGGTACAAGCCCGAGTGGTAGATTGTTGATCTGATATGCACCCATGTATTCTCAGTAATCGTGTTCTCGACCACAATCCCGATGTTGAGGAACATTTTGGGTGTTCTGATGGAGAGCACTCCCAGAGAGATTGATGCTACAAAGATTGAGAAAGATCTCTGTGAGGTGGATGAGGTAGTTGACATTCATGAATTGCACATCTGGGCGATAACTGTTGGTAAGGTACTAATGGCTTGCCATGTTATCGTTAAGCCAGATGCTAATGCCGACATGGTACTGGAAGAGATTATAAACTACGTCAAGCGAGAATATAATATCAGTCATGTAACGATTCAGGTAGAGTGTCAGTAGAGTCTGAGAGAGATGATTTGCCAAAGTTTTTGAGTGTTTTAATTAGGTCAGTTTTGTGTTTTAAGACTTCAATTTTCCTCCATAGTTAGAAAGATCATCTGGTATCTCTTTGGTTGCTCTTATATATGTTTCTGATGTAAGACTTCACTTTTGTCAACATACTAAACCATAGTTACAAATAAAATTCCATCTATATATCATTCGTTCGAAATCGCCCAATAGGTTATTTTCTGATTTTTTTTTATACAAAGAATATTTTTATTTTAAATTAATTTAAACTGTGATCAATGTCGCAACTGACTCATGTGTGGGTAAGTTTCTCTCAATACACACAAATACTTGCAAAAATTTGGCATTCTAAAAGGGAACTGGGAATTTGGGAGGTCACTATAAGTCATATAGAATCAGGGTTTAATATCCCACTAATGTATGTTTAGTGTCGTTCGAGTTCATTTTCGATCAAAGTTTATAATCGGGCCTATTTGTGCATACTTCACCAAACACAAAACTTGCCAAATTTTGTATCTTGTAGGGCGTATGTTTGAGATTACTTCTAGAATGACTAAAAGTCTTTTCTGATAATAAAAAACACTTTTATGAACATGTGTGGCTCATGATCTCATGTATCACCACGTGATGTGTGAGACAACATGCGGATATATAGCCGGGTACGTTCATGGTTTAGTAAATTCAACTGCAAAAGTGCTGATATGTAAGATCTGATGGCTATGTAAATGATGAATTATCTTTGTGAGAAATCTTTTGTTTTTCCTTTTTCGTCCTATCGCATAGCTTCGAGCATGTCCTCTTCTTAGTTTAACTTGAAATAGAAATATCGTTTGTAAATTTGTAATCATTCTCTGATTGCACAGGGCACAAGGAAGATATGAGGCCAATCTCTTATCTTGCAAATGATTTCTTAACTCGATCAAAAACTCACTCTTATGGTTCTGATCGATCGAGATTAAAATATCAAATTATATGCTTTGTGCATACGAGTTCACAATGTATTTCAACAGTGTGAGTAAAATTGTAAATACCGAGAAATATAAAGCTCTGATAAATAATAAAAGAATGTAAATTTTGGCTTGTATAGGATAGGTGGATTTTTTCAAAGGAAATTAATTTCATCAAACACTACTCGCTCGTTATAGTTAAAGAGTCATTTCTCTTTACCTATAAAACCGTTGATAAATATACATAAGCGACGTATGAAAGCATTTTTGAACATGTGCTAAATTGTGGTATGCATGTACGGAGGAACAAGTACGAAGCCAAGATTTTCCGTCAACCTTTGCTTAGTGGCACAATTGATTATCCAATCGAAGCCTTCTTCTCAAATATCCTCTCCCTTGCCTTCCTTGCCTGAAAAAACAAAACCCAAATTCTATGAAGATCCGGAACAAAAACTAAGTGCTACTAGACTAAATGATCATATGCCGAAATTATGAAGAGATTGAAGTTAGAAATAGACCTGCTTTTCCCAGTTTGTACGAATTGTTACCAAGGAGAGCAGAATGGTTTGCACAAAAGAACCAACTTGTATCCCAATCCAAAGTCCCCTTCCTCTTTGGTGTACCAAGAAAGCCAATAGTGCAGCAACTGGGATCCCACAGAGATAAAATGCTCCAAGGTTTATGTAAGCCCCTATATGCTGCCACCCAGTTCCTCTAGCAACACCTGATTTTTAATCTCGAGATTAAAAATTTAAACAATGTAATTATCTCTAAGCAAGATGCTTAATTAGCTTATTGGCAGTAAAAATATAATAAAACATTTAACCTGTAAGGACCCCTTGAAAGCTGTCTAGAATAAGAGACAGACAAATTAGAGGTGCCATGGCTATGACATAATCGACGACGTCCTTCTCCTTGCTAAAAATGTAGCCAAATATGTACCGGCAGGCGAACAGGGTTGTGGTTTCTATACTGGTCTCTATGGCTGCTAGAAACACTGCGACGCGAGCAGCTAAACGCGCACCTTCTGGGTTACCGGCTCCTAGTTCATTTGCAACCCTAGTACTATACAATTTTACATGCAAAATGTAAAGTTAAATGATCGATTTGTTAGTTAATTTTTATGCAGATTTTAACTGTATTGATTAAGCATACCTTACTGCAGCACCAAAGCCATATGGTATTGCATAGAGTGTTGAAATGGTCTGGAGACTGTCCAGAAACAATTTGATTAGATCTAATCAAATCCAAATTCAAAAACTGGTTTTAAAATTTCTACATAAATTATAGAACGAAAACATAAAAACTTACCATACAGACAGTACTGAAGTTTCGAGGGCCGGATTTGGTAAAAGCCCGGAGAGCAAGATAAGCAATTCGAATGACCACCACTCAAGGCTACAAAAGCCATCAACAAGAATCAATCGGAAAGACTTTCGACGTTTACTGAGGAGCTAATCTCACCTAATCCTGTATTTATTTACTTATTTTTAATTTAAAAAAACAAGGAAATATTTTATGAAAACATGTCAGAAAATTCTAGTTGAAGAGCTACCATAACATTAGTGCAGAAGGGATTGAAAAGCGAAAGAACTCTCCGATTCCTTCGAATATCTCCTTAGAAATGGGAGCTCGGGTTTTCGAACAGGCAGAGGAAAACTTCATGTACATTCCAAGTAAAATCAAATTGAGCCAGTAGGATATACTGATTGCTAATGCTCCTCCAAGGTGATCCAGCCCGGACTTGAAGACGAGAGCCCAACAGAGAGGAATATGGATCAAGAGGGTGACGACAGAGCTTACAAGCATAGGAAATGTCAAACTTTGTGCCTGAAAGTATCTAACGAGTGGTTGAAGGGCAGCATGAGCGAAAAGACCAGGTAGAAGCCAGATTGTGAATTTTCTGGCTTCGCGAGAAATGTCAGGGTTTTGACCCATAAAAATTAGTAACTTGTCCATGAATATCCATATCAAAGATAAAGGAAAACAAACTAAGGTGAGGGAAAATATAGCAGTGTAAGTATGAAGTCCAACTTTCTTAAATTCTTCTGCTCCAAATGCTTGTCCACATAAAGTTTCCAATGCACTTGCCATCCCTAGCTGTTAGCATGTTACAAAAATATACTCAACTAGTTTCTACAAACAACGAAAGAACAAAAGTGGAGGATGAAAGGCTTACGAAAAGACTAAAGCCGGTGACCCCAGAGAGGGAGATAGCTATGGAGGCGCTAGAGAGAGCAAGCTCGCCAAGTTGACCTACCATCATCATCGAAACAACGCGCAATAAGCTCTGGGATAAGTTCACAGCAATCATGGGTGCTGCTATGTAACACAACCTCTTTGCTTCTTGGAAGGAAGAACGCCATGTTACAACGGGTGCTTTCACATCGACCATGACCTCTCTCTAGGATGAAGTAATAGTCTGTACTCTCCAAATTTCCATTATTTATGGAATTTTGAGTAAATTAAACTCACGTTTTCGTGCGATCTCTTGTTTTTATTCTCTTCCTTTAAGAAAATACAAAGTGAGATTATTGATTTAAGGGAGTTTTAATGAAAAGCTTATGGTACTGTTCACTTTAATGAAAAATTACATTTTTACACTAAAAAGTCACTCTTGATACTATTCATTTTACCCTTTATTTTGTCCTTATCATTAAAACTCAAATTTTCAAGCCATTTTCATTAGTTTTCCTTTGATTTAATCCCCACCAAAGTTTGTGTGTATGTGTGTAAACTCCAGGAATCAAAATAAACAAAATGTAAATGTTGGCTTGTATTGGATAAGTGGGTTTTATCAAAAGGATAGCAGAGTAAATGAATAAAACTCGACGTAGTTCTTTTAGCACGAAATGTTTCTCGATGAATAAAATTAAGCTCATCAAGCTTAAATCAGTTGTACAATGCATTATCCATCATTAGAATTTAGACATCGTCATTGATATATCCACTCCCTTGCCTTGGTTGGAACATAGAAAAACCCAACATATGTTAAGATCCTTGTAATTAACAAAGACTGATAAAATTGAGAGATTTTTCAATGGACTGGTATAAGGGTGGTACACCACGTGTCACTATACAAATGGTGGGATATGTATGCTAAAAAAGTTAATAACTTAAAAAATGAAATTTCCCACTTTTATTAAAACACGTGGTGTACCACTTATATTCCCGTCACAATTAAAAATTTCTCGGTAAAATTAGGCAATTTTAATAATAAAATGTTGTTGTTTTGTATTAGCTGCTATATCAATGAGTTTTACCATAACCTTTGTCGTTTGGTTGCCAAGACAATAAAAAGGAAGTACCAATACCGAGGGCGAAGTTTCAAGAAAACGATTTTCAGCTTATAGTATAGAAAAATGTTTGCACGAAAGCGAAAGCGAGTAGAATGGTTTGCACGAAAGATAAAGCCGGTGACGCCACAGAGGGAGATGGCTATGGAGGTGCTAGAGGGCAATAAGTACCGAGGTAGAATCACGGCAACATGCATTTTGGCAATAACAAGATCTCTTCCATATCTGTCTGTGAAGTGTCTTGGCCACCTTTTGCACGCTCAGCCTGCGTTAAAGTAATATACACACAACTATTCGGTCTTGGTTGGTTGATCACTAAATGACGGTACGGTCGTTACGACCGAATGACTAACTGTTCGGTCTTGGTTGGTTGATCAACTAAGTATCCGGTCTTGGTTGGTTGATCACTTATTTGACGTAGTGTGTCGAAATATTGTAGAAAATAGCGGCGGGATTCTGCTGAACATTATTTTAAGAAGCAATTTTACTTCTTTTTCCGGCCTTGTGTTCGATTAATTGATTTTCTTGAAGAATGATATGAGAATCTCTGAATTTAGAAGAAAAATGGAAGTCTTTCCAGAAAATAGATGCGGAAGGCGATCTAAATTATTGAGTAGTTGGTGTTGAATAAAAAAAGTTGTGATTCTACCATAACGATTTTTTTTTTCCTAAGTCAAATGCCTAGAAAAAAAATTGTATCAAAACATAGCCATTTCTTGTACATAAATAGGATCACCTCCTCAAAACAACAGGGATGATGGCTAGGACTGGTTCAATTGGTGCTCTGGCTGGGCCAACTACTGAATGGAATCAACAACTTACATTAGTACTTACATTAGCTTAGATGCAGTGGTATCCGCATTTTTTCACTGGGAGTTCCAGATTGAAGAAGAGGCAGATCAAAATATGGTGCGGAAAAACCCAAATCGAGATGAATGGAAGATGCATTTGGAACCAACTTGTTTTTCTAGATTAGTAGAGGTATTCATTGAAAAGTCTTAATGCTATCTTCGACAGTCTTGAGACCGTAAAAGCAATATGGGAAGTAGCCCAACCTATAAGCTCATGCAAAGTCTTTCCTCCCATCAATATAAAATTCATTCTCAACATTGACTGTACAAGTTGGGGAGCGGTAATGGAGGAAGAATCGGGAGGGGGGGTGTGGGTTTGTTGGAATTTTTGATTCGGTATTTTAAAATACAACTCTTCATTAGTCACTTAATACTATTCAATTTGTTTTAAAGTCTTAATTTCAGTTTTTATTTGTAAAACCAAAACTGATGCTTTAAAAGGGGTTTATAATGTTAGCATTTGATTGTGCAATAATGCTCTTTGAATTCACATTATCTGGCCAACGTCCTTTTGTGATTAAGCTTATATATACACTACTATTGCGTAAATAAAAAGATGAGAAATATAGAGCTCCAATCTTCTGTCCTTTTCACTTCTCTAAGTCTTCAATCCATATCTTTCATTGTTCACTTTTATACTAAAGTAAAAATTGGGCTGTTCATCCAATTCAAGTATTGCAAGTGTAAGCTTACAAGGATCATAGGTTGTTGTATTCTGAAGGGTAGGGCACCATAATCTGCTACACCGAGACCTAGTCTTAGAGAGGCGAAATCTACTCTTAAAGACAGTGAACTTACACGCCTCAACCTAAATCTTGTTCTAATCAAGGATCGATGAAGAGTATTCTCTACCTACCAAAGATAAGTATTTCATTGTTGTTTCATTATTTTTATATGGTTTACCATTTTTGTAAAGGAAATTTTATTTAAATCCATGTAACCTTTGTTTACACTCAACTTAAATTTTAAATGTTAATTGTCTATTACCCTATTGCTGAATTACTATTAAGTACAAAATGAAATTAATAATAAAACTCAAAATTATCAATAAACTCAAACACTATAATTAACTTTAAACCCTAGGATCACTCTTTGTCTATCCTACATTCATTCCGGCTAAAACCCTAATAGCTCTCATAGAGAAAACCAAGTTTATTTATTTATTGATGGATCGTGATTTTAAAGTTTTGAATCCTCCAATTTATCCTATGTTTATCAAAATACCAATGCACCAATATTAGTTCCAGCTTTACTAGCTAAACAACAGTCAATGGCATCAAACGATCGAAGCTCCCACAAAGAGCTTTAGCTCGACTCGATTTCTTCTTCTTCATTCCTCTTTTGATGATCTCCTCCTCTAGTCCCATAGATTTTTTCCCAAATGAAACTGAGGCCTGGGTCAAGATATGTGCCATATTACTATTGTCTTTTGTTGCACCTCTATGAATAAGTATCCTAGTAATCCCAACGTAGTGCAAAGACTCAGCAATCTGCAGTGCAGTCACACCTTTGTTAGTTCGAGCTTCAGCATCATCTCCTTTCTTTACCAACATCTCAATCTGTTGGAACCCCAGTCCCACATCGGACAGAGGGAGAAGAGAAGAGTGCTTTAAATAGAAATACCCCTCTCTAATCTGCAGTGCAGTCACACCTTTGTTAGTTCGAGCTTCAGCATCATCTCCTTTCTTTACCAACATCTCAATCACATCCGCATGTCCTGACTCCGCTGCACAGTGCAACGCGGTGTATGCAATCCAGACTTGAATATTAGAAAATGCCGATTGCTAATGATCCTCCAAGGTGATCCAATCCAGACTTGAATATTAGAATCCAGCAGAGAGGAATATGGAATAAAAGAGTGGCGAAAGAACTTATGACCATAGGCATTAATAAACTCTGAGTTTGGAAGTACCGAACGAGTGGATGAAGAGTTGCATAAGCAAATAGAGCAGGAATAAGCCAGATTATGAACTTGCCGGCTTCACGAGAAATCACAGGGTCTTGACCGGTGAAAATCAGTATCTCCTCCATATAAATCCATATCAAAGATAAAGGAAGACAAACCAAGTTGAGAGAAAATATGGCAGTGTAAGTTTCAAGTCCAAGTTTCTGATATTGTTCTGCTCCATATGCTTGCCCACACAGAGTTTCCAGTGCACTTGCCACTCCTGTCGGTTCAAACAGCAAGTTACAAATCAAATTAGTTTTTCGAGACAGATTATTTCTACGCTAAAATTTATGTGGTTATGCCAGTTGGTCATGGCAGTTTGTACCCGAGTTCAAATCTCATCTCAATAGACGTAGTAGCTTAGAATATCATATTGTGAAAAGATATGGACTTTTGATTCATAAAAAAAGAACAGAAGTTTCATGCATTCTATACATGGTAAGGTTAACTGGGATTTCTACCAACAGAAACCAAACAAAAGATGAAGAAGAAGATGGAAGGAAGATAGAGACTTACAAAAAGACTGAACCCGGTGATGCCGGCGAGGGAGAAAGCAATGGAGGAGCTAGAGAGAGCAAGTTCACCCAGGTGACCAACCATCGTCACTGAAATGAACCGCAGGATGAAGTGGGAAAGAACCACAGCAACCATGGGTCCTGCAATGCATCCCAACCTCTTCACTTCTTCGAAAAAAGAACCCCATGTCAGACAACAACTACTACTACTACTACTTGAATTTCTACTTCTTCTTTGTTGCTCTCTACTGTAATCTGACAATAGCAAGCTCTCTTCCATGGCTGTGTCTTTTGCTGTGGAACTCAATTGCCGTGGCGGCATTTGCAAAGAGTGGTTGTGTACAGCCAATATGACAGCAAGAGAAGCAAACCAGTTATGTAGCATCATTATTTGCATAGAGTGGTAGTTTACATATTTTCTATTGATTCTGTGCAGATTTTTTTAATATTATACAAAAATGGAGCAATTATTTGCTTGCTTTATTTGCTAGGCTACAAAAAAAGAGCCAATGTGATAGCAAGAAAAACAGAGCAAATATTATAGGGGTTGAGAAAGAAGTAATCCTTGTATTGGATGTGTGAATAAATTGCATAACTCAGCTGAGTTTTTGTCAACTTTACACATCTTATCATGATAAATTTGCTGATTCAGAACTCAGCTGTTCTTTCTTGCCGGATATTGCAGTACACTTTCCAGAGACATTCTGATACAGATGTTGGGCAGGAACTGCAATGCAAGCTATCAGTAGATTCAGGACACCATGTTGCATTCGAGAACGTCTATCTCACTTGATCGTAGTCAAGACCGAATACCACAAGTCTATATGTGTGAATCATATTCGAATATGTTATTACAAATTTTTTTAGTGCCAGAAGAATGGATAAAGC